TTCATGAATAATTAACTTATCATTAACGATCAAAGCAGATTAAAAGATAGATTTAATATCAGCAAGTTATTTGTAACCAATCTGATTTGGCTAATAAAGAGGATCAAATAAAAAATCTAGATGTTTTCTCTTCAATAAATTTCTCAATGAATAATTTTTAGATAACTTATACTCGTAAAATTCTAACAGAAATACTCTTTGAAATAATATTTCTTCTGTTTTCCAAATACATATCTCAAAGCTATTTTAATCGAAAGATAAAATACTTTTTTGAAGAAATTTATCGAAGAATTTTTATTAATATTAGAGAAACAGAAAAAAAACAAAATAAAATCGAACAATAAGATTCATGAAATAAAGAAAAAACTTAAAAATAAATCGAATTGAATATCGATTTATAAGCCAAATGATATTAGAAAGAAATTGATGACTTCAACTTGTATCATCTTTATTTGTCAAGTTTTATTGTCAATGAAATAATATTTATAATAATTTTCTTAATCGAAATTACTTATTAAAATGTTAAAATTTATAGAAGTGAAGTCTTATAGATATTTTGTATACTACAAATTCAGAAATACTAATGAATTTACTTCTATTATTCTCTTTAATTATCTGAAAGGAACATCTAAATTTTCCGCACAATAGTAATAGTATGAAAGTTTCAGTCTGACTTAATTTTAATGTTGATGCACACAAGATGTTCTGATCTTTATCAAAGATGTTATGTACAAATGGGACTCTAGTAATGCTTAATTGTGTGATACTGAACAAGGTTATTATTAAATTGAAAGCAATTGTAAATGATACAATGAGCATGATGAATAGCAGACAATTATATAACGAGTAATAGAGGAAAGATAATCCTAGAGACTAAGAAAAGATGATAATTGAATTTTTCGAAGAAGAATATAAAAATTGATTAACCACTATATAGAAAGAATTCTTTCTTCTACAGATATTTTGGAAACTTTTTTTCGAATTATCATGTTCATTTACAAAGTTGTTCAACATATTCTGTTTAACCAATATGATACAATTTTGTGCAAACAAGATTCTCTAATTACATAATACAGTTTTCGATGGACTAAATAATTAAAATAGATCTTCGAGATTTCAGGTAGATCTATATCGATCAAAATTCTAAATAGGAGCGACTCATTTACTTTCATTGTAACTTAATGTTAACGAAGTACTTTCCAACTATGCTGTTTACTTGTAGGTAGGAAACTAAAACTTACTTGTTTTGTAGTAACTTTATGATTTTTATTTATTTATTTACTAATGTCAGATTCTTTTTAAAGTACTTACGACCATTTGTTGAATAACTTTCCAACGGTTCAAACTACAGACGTCGGGTTTTCATCGTTAGAAAGAGCAAGACGGGAGACGTTGATCTGTATAAAATTCAGTAAGTTCAAGCCTCTTTTCTATAGCTGTTTGCAGTCAGATATTTTTTTTGTTGTCTATTTTCATGAGTTTTCGTGACAAGTTAACATCAAATTAGACCGAAATCTTCTTGTATTTGTGCCAAAATTGTCAAATCTTTGCATTTTCTTCTCGGTTTTGTTTTCCTTAGGTTTTCATGTTAAAATATGAGAATTTTAGTACAAATACAGAGAGATTTCGGTTACATTTTCTTCTAATTTGATGTTAACTTGTCACGAAAACTCATGAAAATAGACAACAAAAAAGATATCTGACTGCAAACAGCTATAGAAAAGAGGCTTGAACTTAATGAATTTTATACATATCGACGCCTCCCGTCTTGCTCTTTCTAACAATGAAAACCCGACGTCTGTAGTTTGAACCGTTGAAAATTTATTCAACAAATGGTCGTAAGTACTTTTAAAAAAGTTCGACATTAGTAAATAAATAAATTGAAACTAGTAATTATATGATTTTATTTTTCTAACTTGCACGAACGATTTACCTTTCTTGTTTACGTCAGGGCTCATTAGACATATTCATCTTGATATATTGATTGTATCTTAACATGTCAATGCACTGCACATTAATGACAATGATTGACATAAAGAATCGTGTGATTGAAAATTTTCAACTTGCACGAAAGGCATACATGTATGATATTCTCGAAATCAGTGATGAAAAAAGTTTCAGCTTTATTGATTTTATTATGTATAAAGTAAACAGAGGTGATTTGGCACATGATTTTGAATTTTTATCTTATTTTGTTCATAACTTTTTTTTATTTTAAATGACAGAAAAATATATTTGATACAAAGTATGTAGAGAAAACATTTTTCTAATAAATGGTCTTTTTAGTTTCTAAAAATTTCTTCAAATAACTTTTCCACAGTTGTTTTAGTGAGATGTACTCTTACCTTTGACGAATCATCACGAATGAGGTGATTTGGCAAACTCAGCTAATTTAACTAGGATTTTTGAAAATCTAATTTTTGTGAGTATTAAACATTATTTTCAAGTGATTTTTTTTTGTATTTCAAAATGTTCCTCTCGTCGAGTTCTATACATCAGAAGATTTTCAAAAATTAACGTTCAATTTATAATATTGATATTCATATAATCAATGATAAAAACTTCAAAATTTTTAAAAAAATATCAATTTTTTTCAAAGGACAAGTGTGTTAAGGCCACTTTCTGACTCAAAGTATTTTCAAGAAGTAGTTCTTTGTGAGTAAAGAGGTCGATATGGGATACGTACCTGGATAAGTGATTTTTTTCTCTCAAATCACTTTTGACTTTGTCTTTCCTGTACTTCCCCTTAGGATTTCTAAAAAAATTTTTTTTTTATTAACCTTTCAAAATTAGATAGGAATATCAAGTCGGCCACGCTGATCATGAATATCACTATTACAAGTCTAAAAAAAAATGTAATGCTAAAATGAGAACCGACTTTTACTTGTATCCTGATTTTAGGTCTTCGATCAGCTCTTTTTGACTCCGTTCTTAGATAGATAAATCTGTAAAAAAGGGTGAAAAATAGGCTTCTTATATGTAACTTTCATAACTCTATCAGAATGCGAATGAATCAAGGTTATCAGAAACATTCAACTGTTTTTATGATAGAAATATCGGCATAAAGCGAATGAAATAACTAAAAGCGACTTGCGTTCAGCGATTTCTGGTGCACTGTGTGATCTTGAACATACGTAGAACTGTCAATTACAGGTAACTTGTCATTCTCAATCCAAATATTCCATTGAAACGATCAATAAAATCTGATGTCTGCTTCAAAATGCTGATTTACGAGTCAAAATGACCTGATATCGTGATTATTCGCTGGTATATTCGTCTTTCTGATCGATGCCACTCAAGCCTTTTTCTGCTCATTTGTCTTGGAAAGATATCTAGGTAGTTTTCTTTATTATCCGCTGTGAAAAAAAATACTTTTGCTCATCTATTTAGAATTGCAACATGAGTGTAATTTATCAGATGATGCAGTGAATATATTTCATATTTTCAGAATATATGATATTTCTAAGTGAATTCCGATGGATGATGAGTTGCCTCTGAGATAAGTATCACCCAATTAAGTACTGTATATTGTATCTGAAAAAACTACAAAATCCTTGGCATTCAAAGGTGTTTCTTTTTGACTTGTCACTAGTTCACTTCATTTTTTGATCTATGCTACGGTATATCAAAAAGCATAGCATCTTCGAATTTTAAACTTAAATTTTATCAATGAAGGGTTTGATGATCGTTATAATACACCAAAAGTTTCCATTTAAATGAAAGAGACCTTCCTAAATAATAAGACTTTCAATGAAACTGTATTTTCGAGTTCCCTGTACAACATACTTATATACTGTTTTAGTTATTTCACTCGCTTTATGCCAATATTTCTATAATAAAAACAGTTGAATGTTTCTGATAACCTTGATTCATTCGGATTCTGATAGAGTTACGAAAGTTACATATAAGAAGCCTATTTTTCACCCTTTTTTTTTTTTACAGGTTTATCTATCTAAGAACGGAGTCAAAAAGAGCTGATCGAAGACCTAAAATCAGGATATAAGTAAAAGTCGGTTCTCATTTCAGCATTACATTTTTTTTAGACTTGTAATAGTGATATTCGTGATCAGCGTGGTCGACTTAATATTCCTATCTAATTTTGAAAGGTAAATAAAAAAAAATTTTTTTAGAAATCCTGAGGGGGAGTACAGGGAAGAGAAAGTCAAAGGTGAACGATAATTTTTGAAAATCTTCAAATGTATAGAACTCGACGAGAGAAACATTTTGATATAAAAAAATCACTTGAAAATGATGTTTGTTTCTCACCAAAATTAGGTTTTCCAAAATTCCAGTTAAATTAGCTGAGTTTGCCAAATCACTCCATTCATAGTGATTCGGCAAAGGTAAAAGTAGATCTCACTAAAACGACTGTGAAAAAGTTATTCGAAGAGATTTTTAGAAACTAAAAACACCATTGAATAGAAAAATGTTTTCTCTACATACTTTGTACCAAACATTTTTTTCTATGATATAAACTAAAAAAAGTTATGAACAAAATAAGACAAAAATTCAAAATCGTGTGCCAAATCATCCCTCTTTACTCTACTAGTGGCTTATGAGTCATAGTTATACAATCAAAAGATGATCTTTTGACGAATGTTTATATAGGGAAATTGCTCGATATATATCGCATAATTGTTATAATTTGCTGCTTTAAAATGGATTGTTCTGATATTTAACTCATCTTACATCATCTCAATGTTAATGAAGATTGTGAGAATGACCATATATACAAAGGAAAAAAATCAAAGTTGAAAATAGCGAAGTTGAACTTCAGAATAGCTAAAGCACGTCGGAGTAGAATGTGTTTTTCTACTATGGAATCATGATTTCTTTGTTGTTTTTCTCAGGAAAAATGTGCGTTTTTTAGGCTTAAAAAAAGTCTATCATAACCTTAATCGACCGAAATTTTACCTTTTATTGTCAAAAAACCAGCTTAACAGAGTACTTACAGGGTTATTGTTCAATTAAATAGATTTTTTTTTCTTTAAAGACTAATAATGAACTTTATTAAAGTAAATACGGACATTTATATATGAAAAAAGAAGAGAAAAGGAAAGTTGATTATTTTTTTGGTTTATTCCCATCTGGATAGAGTTGTGAAAAATATATAATGTTACATAAAAAACATGAATAACAAAATCGACACTATCATGTGTCAGAATATGTATTATATCTAGCGAAACAATGTCTTATTTGCTCGCTTACAAGAGTAGAGTTTTCGAAATCTTGAACAAGACCATTATTGGTTTTTTTGTGAGCTGAGTTTAAAATATTAAATAATTTTCTTTTGTTTTTCTTTCTAGCTTAAATGTTAGCGATTTAACAGTATCAATAATAATCAGCATACATGAGAAAATTTTCAAGAATAAATCAAAAAGACTAAATAATCAGAATGAAACTGTTGTTAAGTTACAAAAAGTTCGATAAATCAATATGTATTCATTCTAATGAATATAGAAACAAAAATAGACATTTGTATTTTTTTTTCATAATTATAATTTGTGAATAATCTTATGCTATCCAAATTACAACTAGCATTCAATA